TTTTACAAATATCTTGATATTAAGACCACGTGAATCTATACAGAATCCCTCTTCGACGAAGATAATCATTAACAACTACTATATAATGTGATTGCTACAAAAAAGTTCGACCAACTTCTTTCTCGATCGCAACATCCCCATATGATTTAGTCTTGTATTTGATACACTAATGTCAAACGAGAGACCAATGATACGGTCTGGTGTACGGAATCGATTAACTCCTGAATAACAATTCGGGTGATATCTTTGTCAGTTCTATCCTGTGTAAGGGACACTCCAAGCAGGTGTTCAAATCTTTGCAAGAATAGCAGACCAGTCTTCCATATTTTCGATATTCCCGGTGGTAGCTTGCGGCAATGATTTGCTGTCTCAGTATACAACAAAACCAGGTGCGTTGCTGAATGGCGACTGTGAGATCTATTTGCTTTCGCGTTCTTGTCCGGGATCGCCGAACAATAGATGGAGATAGGAATAAAATAAATATCATGATCGCTGCTCTTGGCAGCTGCAATGAATAAACTATTTGCCCGTTGATATTTTTTAATTGTTCTCAGTCTCATGTCGTCAGCAGTTCAGGATCGAAAGATGTTTCCAAAGACAACGTGGCATTCATTTTCGCATCAGAACAACAACGACAAATAAGTTCAAATAACTGAGTAAAACAGTTTGGCAAATATAAGGTAAATGCAAATAAAAAAACAACACAATACTGATTTGTATTAACACATATAAAAGGACATAAAATGCACGGAGAGGCTTTGCTAAAATGCCTGCTAGGGAGCACCCTTAGAGGTCTATAAAAAGACAATCATATTCTCTCTCTTTCTCTTTTTAGTCTTTTTAACTTACTTCCAGATATAGTCAGATGTCGATAAAGAACGCTGCCGATGGGGAGCGTTCGCTTCCTTCGTCCTTTCTGGAGTTTTAAAATCTATCACACACGCACATACACACACGTGTCTGTCCCACACGCTTGTTTCACTACACACCCACACACACAGACACATATACACGCACGCACGCGCGCACGCACACACACACATAAGCCCATTCTTCTTATAGCAACTTTTAATATTCTTCTTTTCATTACATTTGCGTAAACATGTAATTTATTTTGTTATTAACATTGTCGTTTGTTTTATATCCTTTGCTTTGTGTTATATATTTTTACTCGGACTCACGATGAGTCCGCCCATATTGTTTGCGGGATAAATTTTCTAAGAACATTTAAAATAAAATGTCCACACCCATAGCATAAGGGTGATTTATTTCTAACCAAACATACTAGATGTCCACAACAAAGCGTCTAATAAGATAACAATAATGCTTTGATAATAAAATATAAAAAATTATTGTTATTTAAATTTGCTGAAAATAGAAAAATATTCATAAAAATATGATCAAATTCCAAAATATATAATTCTCTCTTACTCTTTATTTATTCATTTATTGTGAACACGTGACCTGGTCAGTTATGCCTTAAGAGCAAATAATGAGTCTAAAGAAACCTGGTCACCAGAATAAAAGGAACAATGGATATATGCCACATGAAAATTAGTAGTTTTGCAAATGACATTTTGATGACATTGTCAACTAAGGAGTCGCAATAGGTTACTTTGATACATTTGACTAATATTTGCTGTAAAATAATATAATTAGATTTAAAAACAAATGCTCATATCTTTTAATTCAACTTCAATTTCCTTCCTTTTCTATTATTGATCACGGAAAACTAGGTTGTTGTTTTTTTGTTTTTTTTTCTTCACTGCAGCAGAAATGCAGGAGAAATATATTGCAAGCTCCTCAATTTTATTTGATGGCTGTAACTATCAACATGTATATAAATATCACACTAGCCTCAACAAGTTCAGAAGCTATTGACATTGTAACAATTCATGATTGTAAGATCAAAAGTTTATTCTCAGAGAAAGGTCATGGTAGCAATTTAAAATGTTGCTTTTAAGCCACTTATAGCATAAGGAATATGTTAACATTAAATTTCAAATTAATATTTTAAAGATAAAACATGACATATAATTCTGCTATAAGCTCTATTTGTTAGAATCCGAGTTACGTAGTTTCTCATCACCAATTCTTTAAATATTGAAACACTGAAATTGCTTCAGCACATGATTTAAAAACTTCTATAAAAGTGCTAAAGTTCTGTGATCACATAATATTATCCAATTTGTTTAATATTTTGAACACAGACACTCCATAAATGTAGTCAATTTTAATATATATGAGCATTCAGAGGCAACAGACTATTCCATGCTAAACGCAATCTTTAGGCAACCTGTGACCTGACGATTAAGTGTTGACTTCAATGTCCAATTTTCTATTTTCTATTTAAATACGCTATATCTCTGATATTGAACACTTTATCCCCTAAATATAGCAGCATATATATATATATATATATATATATATATATATATATATATATATATATATATAACGAATATTTTCTATGAAAATTTTTCGGACATTCAGGCCGGTAAATGTTATTTAATACTGTTTATCATAAACAGAGCATTTGCTTAAATACTTGTATGTATAAAATAACAACGTTAAACATAATAAAATGTCTTTAATAAATAAATTGTCGGACCATGTCCATTTCTTAATATATGACGTCATTTGTTTACATTCGATACGCCAGAGCAATTATGAATGTACGAGATTCATGGAAAATTGGAGTTTATAAGCAGTAAATTCGACCTTGTCTACCGAACGCTTCTTTGTAGCCTAGCGGTAAGGCACGTCAGCGTATATGACGGTTCCGTATAGGATGCAGGTTCGAATGCTGTCAAAGAACGAATATTTTCTATGAAAATTTCTCGGACATTCAGGCCGGTAAATGTTATTTAATACTGTTTATCATAAACAGAGCATTTGCTTAAATACTTGTATCTATAAAATAACAACGTTAAACATAATAAAATGTCTTTAATATATATATATATATATTTGTATTTGTGTGTATTTCATGCTTCAAAATTATTTTAATATAATTTACTGGTTCTTTTTAAATAAAATTCATCCTTAATAAACGGTCAACTCTAAATTTATCCAAATCTTCAAATAAGACAAATAACTGTTTTCTTTCTTAAATATTTACAACTATTTATGCTATATTCTGCAAATTTGCTGGTCTTAAGCTATGAATGATATCTTATTTGACTGCATAAACTATTTCATTTAAAAAAAATGACAGACTGTTCATATGAAGAAGATCGTGTTTATTTCCTTGAAATTGTGTTTCTAAGTTCTGGTTATGAAGATTCTCAACATACAATTGTAGGAAATCCACAGCTAGTAACTTCGGCAAAGCTGGAAAACGAAATTATTTGTATTAATGGATAAGGTGTGTTAAGTTTATTACATCAAATTGACGAAATAAACTCGGGCTTCGAATCGACGTGAAAGGTTTTCTTAGTCCATCTCCTGCTAGTTATCGCTTGCTACTAGCCAGCTGATAATAATGTCTTCACTTCACTCAGCAGTAAAGTTGAATTTGTACTATTCCAAAAGCCCATAATTAGTGTTAGTACTACGTTTTGCATATTCGCGAGGAAATGGACTGAACAAGTTAAGTGATGGTTACGATGCATACTTATTTATGTCAGCTGGTTAAATTGACAAATCAGTCATCTAAAATGTCCACTTAAAGATTTGCCTTATCTCTACGGATTAATATACAGAATATTGCATAGGATTACCCCAATAGGTAAAACTTTACTTTGGGGTTAAAACAGTGACATATATAAACAAATCCCAGTCGTGTTCAAGCGTTATTGTGTAAAATCATAATAGACAAAACTTATGTTAATTTTGAAATCAACTTTTATATCATCAATCAGCAATTTTTAAAAAAATAATTTTTAATTTTTTTATGAGTATATAAACGTGCCGTTTTTTGTGAGTATGGGCGAGAAAACACGACATTATCAGAAAATAAGAGCGATGTGTATAGAAAATTTGAAGCCAAAATTTCTAAAATTCAACAAAAACACTAAATTACATAGAATATTCTCCTAATTTTTTAAAATTACTGAGGACTTAAAAAAATTAGATAAGAAATGCACTCCTTTCATTATCTTCAATTCTGTCTTACAGTAAAATCTCCGTAGAATAACATTGGGTGTATCATTACCATGTCAAACACGTCAACACAGCTACTGTCGGTTAAAAACACAGTTACTGTCGGTTAAAGACACAGCTACTGTCGCGTTAAAAATATATTTTATAATCTTAAAGTAGATAATAGTTATTTGAAATTAGATTAATTTAAATCAGCTAATATTCCTCAAATAACGTTTCAGAAAATTCATTTTTAGAAGATTTTTAATAAAGGGAATTACATTGCGATGAAAAACGACTAAAATAAAGGTGCTAATAAGCTATTTTAGCAAAAAGAAGAAAAGTAAATTCTTTCCAGTCAATTTAAATTTAAATTAATTTTTGAAATACGGCAAAGTATTTTACTTATTGGAAATATTAAATTTAATCTCTGTTTATATTTCTGAGATGTGGTATTGTAGTTATTTATACTATTTACATAGTTCGGAGTGTTATCATAATAGAAAGTTATCAGTAGAAAATACGAAAACTTAAGGAATCAGCGCATATGCTAGGCCACAAAAATCTCCTAAACCAGTCAAGCATAGATATGAATGCAATATTGGAACGGAGAGAAGCAAAAATAACAATAATGGCAAAAAAATTTTATTGAGACATTAGGTTTAAGTCCCCAAAATTCACACTGACGTCCTCAGGGACACATGGCCCATTCAATAGAAACGTTGGTTGAAGTAATCCAGTGACCCAAAGAATTCTGAGTTCAATACCTGTCTACAAAAACCTGGAGAGTTGAGTTTAAGGGAAATAACTAATACTGAGATATCCGAAAGAGGCATGGCATGTGGAATTACAACAATCTACCCTCCAATGTCCAATTCTGAGCCATAATCCATTACACTTCCCGCGCACTTAAAAGTTTACATCAACCGGTATCCCCAAGTAGTCACCTATCTAGGTATTAAACAGGCTCGACATTGCTTAACATCGGTGATCATACGGAAATCGATGTTTCAACGTGATATGGCCGTAAGCCAAAATTATTAATAATAAAATGAATATGAAACATAGGTGGAGCATTCTAACGGAGTGACCCTCACATCGGTTGGGCGTGGTAGGCAATGCATGGATTGGTAGCCAAATAATCATTTCTTACACTTACTTAACAATCCTAAGACTGACATCGTCAATCCACGGAAATCATAAATTGACATGACAATTATTGCAATCCAACAATTTCACTTTATGATGCGTTTAGATTTTAAAGGTTAGTTTTTTATTAGTCTAATTAGTAATTCCAATTATTTTGGCTTAATATTTTTCTGATAACATGTCCATTCAGGACGTAGGTGATTATGACTCTCGACATCTTATAGATAAAGTACAGTGCGTGTGTGTGTCCAAGCAACTCCTCCGTTCCCACTGGTCCGATTTTAATGATTCATAGCTCATTCAAAAGCCCTGGAAAAATTGGGCACATGGAACGATTTTCTTTGAGCTCAGATTCAAGGTTGTTACGAGAGGTTAAAAATATATATTAATATAATATACTAGCCATTATCTTTGCTCTCATGTTTCAAGGAGAGTAACTGTTATTCTTCTTTCCTTTCGGTACAGTTTATAAGATAAAATTAATATAGTGTAAAGATAGAAAAATAGAAATTAGAATTAGTTATACATTCAACATTTGAAGTGTTAGAGAAACATAATCGCTAATTAAGTAAAACCTATGGAATCTATATGAATAAATGCGAAAGTTGGAGCTCACTTCTCCCACAAATTCTGCGATAAAAAAAAAACAGTTTTACTTGTAAAGTATCTGTATTATATATTATCTACGTCTAGGCAATATCACTCTTCATATTGATTTTATCTTAAATGTGCCCTCCTTCCTAATTCTGGTTAGTCAAAATAGGGTTACGTGCAAAGCCCTTCCGGAGGTGAAATAGAAAAAAAAAAAACAGCAAACTGCTCACTATCGGCATTTGGTGTGTGTGCTCTCTGTCAGCCCACTTGATTCTCGTTCAATTTCAATCTCTTCTGTTGTTGTTCATCTTATTTATTTATTTACTAATTTAATTAATTTAATTTATTTCTTTATTTTCTTTTTTTTTTTTTTTCGTTTACTATTACTAACTCTCTGATTTTAGAACAATATTCTTTCGAATCTTAGCCCCTGATTAATTTCAATTTGGTGTTCTTTGTTTGTCTCAGAATTCCTCGAAGTAACCTTGCTAGCATCGGGCAGTTATCTCAACGATGTACATCGGCCATGTCGTGACTTTGCCCTTCTTTGCTTCCACCAAAATGTATGTTGGTACTTTAACTAAGTTAAAACTTTATATACTCATTTTTATTCATTTATTTTTTTGTGTGCAATTGGAGTAGATAGGTAGCTATCGCCCGGTCAACACTCATCCCCTTCTCCTTGAAGAGGTATAGAGACTCATTCCTTGTTTCCTGTTTAGGAAGGGGTTCCCGGATCTTTTCCTTTTCTCTGGCCTCTGTATTAGTGCTGTCGTGAGTCCTATGGGATATGTTCGGACTTTGGCAACGTCTCTCCATATTGAGGATACCGGGTTGACAGTTTTCTGGTTGCTGTTCCCGACTGGTACTAAGGAGCCCTAATTCTTGTGTAGCGGCTAGAGCATAATATTGAAGTGCCTGTAGTGCTATGTCGCGCATGGAAGGGTGTCCCCGCTCCCACATACGGTCGTCAACCCCAAGGCCACACTATATTGCAGTCAACTCCAGCTCCTCTCTTCCCATGTTACATACGATGACCGTTCAGCTTCTATTACTTTAAGCCCTCTCACTTTCGCTACCAACATTCCCATCATGACTACAAACAATCAAAGAAACAAACCTAAACCAGCTCTAAAATCACCTAAACCCTTAAATATATCCTTCACCACCATCCGTGGCATTCGGCTCAACTTCGAATTGTTCATCGTTGAGAAGTCTCCTGATATACTAGCTCTCTGCGAGACCTCTCGGTCCGTCAATCCCCTCCTCTGACTTCACCATTCCCGGTTACCTTCCTCTCCTAAGAAAGGACTCTATTGCCTACATGCATGGCTTGGGAGTTTACGCACGAGACGATCTGCCACTGGCTAGGGGGCTCTCTCTCTCTCTCTCTCTCTCAAATCTCCAGATCATTCGTACATGTATCTCCGTCTATCTCTCCTCAAATCTTTAAGCTATGTCCTCTTTCTCTATCCCACTCCATCCTCCCAAGACTGTGATGTACTCGCTTGCATGTCCGATAACGTAGAAAAGGCTATATCTCTACATCTATCTGCAAATATATTTGTGTTTGGTGACTTCAATGCCCACCGTACCAAATGGCTTAAACACTATGTAACTGACATTCATGGCATAAAAACACTTACCTTTTCAATCTCTCACACAAGTGGTTGACTTTCCTACACATTTCCCCAGCAACCATGATGGTAAGGCTTCCCTACTTGATCTCTGTTCTACCTCCATCCCCGAGTCTTGTCGTGCCACACTGTTGGCAACTCTGATCATGCCGTCGTGTCTGTTTTCATCTCCTTCTATTCCTCCCACAATAAAGAACCTCTTATCAACGAGCAGGTTGGGACTTGTTCCGAGATTTGCTTCGTGATATCCCCTGGAATACAGTCTTTAACATGCCGTCCAAAAATGTGCGTCTGAGGACTCATCCTGGGTAAAATCTGGAATCGAGGCTTTCATCCCTTCAAGAAAATATAACGTGAAATCGCTTTCATCTCATTGGTTCTCAGCTGTGCTATGCAGCAGCTATTGCATACAGGAATTACTTCTTCCGTCTATACCGTAGAAACATGTCTGATTACAACTGACGTCTCTTTGTCACTGCTCGTAAAGCGTGCAAGCAGGCTCTCAAAGAAGTAAAGTTACTCTTTGCCGAAAGAATGAATCAACGTATTGCGTCTCGCAAGTTTGAGGATGATACTACTATTTACTCCTGCCTCAATAGTAAATTTAGTATCGTTGACAAAACTAACCTGGCTGCTGATCTCGAAAAGGACCTCCAATCTGTGGTTAACTGGGAGAGGAAATGGCTTGTAAACTTTAATGCTTCCAAAACGAAACTGCTCACCTTTACCCACCACAGAGATCCCCTTCTTCGTCCCATCAAAATGACTGATTCCCAACCCCCACAAGAGCGCCTCGTTACGCTTGCTTGGTCTCACGCTGTCCACTGATATGAGGTGGAATAGATACATTGAATTAATTGCTTCATCTACCGCTAGGAATGTTGGTTCTCTCTGTGTCGTGCCAGAAAGTTTTTCTCGTCTGAGTCCATCCTTCAAATCTATAAATCAACCATCCGTCCTTGCATGGAATATTGCTGTCATATTTGGTCTGGTGCTCCCGCTGTTCGTCTCGAGGTCCTTGACAAAATCCAGAGAGGAATATGCAAGATGATAGGCGCTGATCTGACATCTAAGTCTACAATCGCTATTCCACAATTGTGCTGTGGCCTCCCTCTGTCTCTTCTACAAATATTTTCACGGCAACTGTCCCGACGAGCTACTGTCGCTGGTTCCCGGACTTCATGTATTTAAACGTGCTTGCATCTCGGACTCACCCTTTCACTGCCAAAGCGGTTAAATGCAACCGTTTATTCTTCTCAAACATCTTATTCTCCCGCACTCCTCGTCTGTGAAACTCCCTTCCTCTTACTTGCTTCCTCGATGGCTATAATCTTCAAATGTAATGCCAATCGACATCTGACACCCCTGAGCTTGTTCCCCGTCCTCCTCTGTATCCTTTCCTCAAACAGGCCTCTTTACTTTTTCCTCAAACGCTCCTCTTTACTCTTGTTCTCAATCCTTTGTAACCCCTTGCGTCCTAGTGGCACTCCCGCCTCGCTTGGGGTGATTTTCCTTTAAAAAATCGTTATTACCATTATTGTTATATATTATTTTATTTGATTATTATTATTTTATTTTATTTCACATTTGCATATTGATTTTAAAAAAGTTTTAATTTTCATTAATTAACTGTCCTTCATTACTGTTCTTTTATTCGAGGATTGTTTTGATTTTCATATAAAAAATAGTTCTGTTTAGGAATATCGTCTTATATCATGCAGAAAAGTGTTTGGAATTTGCAATTTACTTGGCCTTCAACAAGCTGGCATCTATTTGTAACACTTTCGTTAATTATAACAAGCCAATTTATGAATGAAATGTTCATTTAAAATTTTTGTTTCAATGATTACAAGTAGTGAATATGTTTTACTTCCGAAGTGATATCGAACGGGCGAAACTGGCTAGTACCGTATATACTTGCGTCATGTCATGTGACTTTTGTTGACATAATTTTGAAGTTAATTTTAAGGGGGTCGTATCATACATGAGATATAAAATTAGCGTATGTACTCCTGGCCTTGGCTACGCCGTTGACCAAACTATATATCCATTTAATGGAGTCAAAAAGTACAACTGTATTTAAATTAAACATTATTTTGACAAAACTGATGTTTTATTTAACTGTATTCAATAATAACGCATATAATATTCACATATTAGTATCGTATTATAAGACAAAAGCATAACGAGCATGCATCTTTTCTATTGTTACGTTTATAAGATGTTTTTAGCTGATCGAGACTCCTGTTTATGCTTTCCAAAGTGTTACTAATGATACTTTTATCATTCTCTTTTACTGTTTTAACTTATTTAACTAGAAGATTGGATAAAGAAGATAGAAGAAAAGAGGTTAGTCTACAGTAATTTGGTCTCTCGAAAAAGGAACTCGCATGATACACGACGAGATACATGATAAAATCATTTTTTATGAGTGAAAATTTGTGGGTCACACGATACGCGAGATTGTGCACGACACGAGGATATACGGAAATCCTTTTCTGTGAAATTTCATTCAGTTTTGGGAATGATAGTGGAATGGTTTCCCTTTGTTATTGTCTTTTAATTCTGTTAAACTGGTTGTCATTCAAGACAAGAGAACCTAGTCTTTATGTCACTATTTAATCTGGGAGAGAATATTTAATTTATACCT